CCGCAGGCTGGCGAGCCGGGGCGCGCTGGCGGCGGCCGAGGAGAAGGAGGAGGAGGCGGGCGGGAGCCAGCCGCCGGCCGCGCCGCCGCCCCACAAGAGGATGAAGAAGCGGAAGGAGCTGAACGCCCTCATCGGCCTGGCCGCCGACGGCCGCAGGAAGAAGCCCGCCAAGAAGGGCTCGGGCCACCGGCTGCTGCGCACCGAGCCGCCCGCCTCCGACTCCGAGTCCAGCTCCGAGGAGGACGAGTTCGCAGGGGCGCGGGGCCGCTGCGGAAAGTGAGTCCCGGGCGCGGCGGGGCCCTGCTCGGACGGTCCTGCCCCGCTCCGCGGCGGGGCTGCGCTGCCTTCCGCGGGTCGGGTTCGCTGCTGGGGCTGAAAGGGGCTGGGGACTGCCAGGGGACAACCGGAGCTGCTCGGAGCGTGTCCGACCCCGCTGGTCGCCTGTCGGGATAAAAGTATATCGGGTCGCAGAGTGGCTTGAATTGGAAGGGACCTTAAAGATCACCTAGTTCCAACCCCTGGCCACGGCCAGGGACAGCTCCCACTGGACCCTACTCTGGCTTTTTATTATTATTATTTTTCTGTTTTGTGCTCCACTCAGCTCAAGTCTTTGTGGAATAAACTTGGGGGCAGCTCCTGGAGATGCTGGGCGCAGTTAACCCGTGTGTGTGCTCAGCGTGGCACCGTCCTGCGAGCTGTCACAGTGCTGGTTTTCTCGGGGACGTGCTGTGCTTTTGCCAGTAAATAAGCTTTTGAGTTAAGTAACAGCATTAATAATTGGGCCTCTGTGCATACCTGAAAGTAGGCATGTCTCAGGGAAGCCTAGGCTTTCACAATTCAGAACGCTCTAGAAGTACTTGTCCATAACATTATGGTAATGCCTTGTCTTGGAGCGTGTTTTTCAAGCTGTCAAGGAGATGTGCCTGACATAAGTTTATGTCAGCAGAGCAGGATATTTTAGTGAAGGAAACCTAACAGCTGCTTTTAAATACGTTAGATGAGCCTACTGAGGATAAACTGAATAGAGAGTAACAGCCCTAACCTGTCTTTATAGCCTTATTTATTCCTGAAAATGCTCTTTGTTAGCCCTTGTCAGCCAAAATGTGTGCTGTTACAACGCTGTCCCTTACTTTGCTAGAATAGCATTTAAAGTAACACTTTTCCAGGGGCTGCTGTATATTCACAAGCTGTTACTTTGTTTTCTGCAGGGGAGACTACCTGCGATGCTGCAGGTTCTGTTACCCTTTATGTGCGTTTGTCATTCTCGCTGCTTGTGTGGTCGCGTGTGTTGGCTTAGTCTGGATGCAGGTGGCTCTCAAGGAGGATTTGGATGCAATAAAGGAGAAGTTTCGAACTAGTAAGTATGAATGTAACTACTATTTCATTTCACATTTTTTTGGGCAGTATGTAGAGCTTTAGTTGCTTTCCTGCTCAGTCCAAGTCTGAAAATACTGAGCAGACAGATAACATCTGAATTGAGGAGTGCTCTGAGCCAGGAACACAGACACTTAGTGAATCTAAGGTGAATGCTAGATATTCTTGCCTGCTCTGTATCTTCTGAGGAGCAGGGACACTGGGCTGGGTGGGCCTGTAGTTGCTTGTATATACATTTCTAAAATTCCTGACTTTGGTCTTCAGAGTGCTCTCTTCCAAAGAAAGACCCTGTTTAAAAAGTTCTGATCAGACCTGTCAAAGCAGTCTAGGTAATTCTGAAAAAAAAAAAAATTAAGAAAAATGATGGTCTTATCTTGAACTCTTTTAAAATCTCTGATACTTGCTATGGAATTACTGCAGTTTGAATGTTGCCTGAATGTTGTACTATATTTTCCCTCTGTATCCTCTGAATGTTTATTTTGCTTGCACTTGCCTGTTTTTGTTCAACTTTTACGTTGGGCTACGTGTGGTGTGGAGTTAATATGTTTAATACTTTGAAGTGTGGAGTCAAGATGAAGTGTTTTGCTTGTAAAGCTCAGGTTTTGTCCGTCCACGTCAAGATTCCCATGCCAAGATTTTCAGTATAATAATTTCTGTAGGCTGAGGTAGAGCAAATGGTGATACGTGCATGTAAGGTATGCTCTTGGCTCTCTGTACCTCACCTCTGGGCACAAGATGTGTTTTGGTGCCTTATGTTAGTAGTGTTTGAAATCCTGTGTAGATTGAAAAAGGCAAGCAAAGGTGTTGTCTTGGTTGTGATAAAAGAGGCATTGAGGAAATGTGTGTAGGAATTCTTGGTGTTGCTGTTCAGGTGTTCCTGTTCAGGCATGTGCGGTGGGAGTTGTCTGCCAAGGTGGAACAGGCTGGCTGGGTGTGAGGGAATTGCTGATAGGTGGGCTTTTGTGTTAACTGATAGTGAACTCTAAAAGTTAGCTGTAGTTGCTGTCCACCAGTTCTGGAGGATGCAGTTCCAGGTGCTGCTTTGTGGCTGGGAGTGTTCCCAGCAGTGGCTGTTTCTGTGTTCTGGGTCAGGAACTGCTGCTCTTCATGTACTGCTTCCCTTTAAGGGTGTGCTGGTGGCAAAAGTTTTGCAAGAGGACAGCATTTGTTGGCTTTGGTGTAGTTAAGTTTCATCATTCCTGTTCAACACAGAGCTCTTTGTTAAAGCAGCTGTTCTCCCTGCTTGGCAATTACAGAGGGCCCTGTTTTCCTCTTAGTAGATCTGATAGAAAAGCTGTGCATTAAAGGCTTTGCCTGGTGATAAACGTGTCAAATTTCCTTGCCATCATTATACCGTGCCTAGGAGTTGGATGGGAGCCTCATAATGAGGCACAGCATTTAAATACCACAACAAAAAAACAGGCAGCAAGAACAGCCTGGTTCTCAAAGGTAACATTTTGCCTCGGTGAAATGTGTGGGTGAACAGAGAAACAAAGGCAGGTGACCCATCTGTCATACAGCAAGTTTGGAAAAGGAATCGTTCTCTGACTCTTCATCCAGACTTTTTTCCCCATAAGAGCAGGTGTTTGTGACAGTATTTGGTATGCTCTGCCACGCTTTGCACAAAGTGAGCATGGGGTGAGTGCTTTTTATAAACAAGATGTCTTTGCATCAAGTATCTTTGGAATAGGAGGAAGTCATGTAGTGTTTCCCTTCAGTTGTCAGCAATGATGCTGACAGCACGGGGCATTTAACCTTCCTAGTGCTCCAAAAAACTCTTCAAGTGGAGTCCATTTTTCACAGTGAGAGTGACAAAATGGAAAATATTTTGTCTACAAAAGCCTATGAAAACATGAGATTTAGTGTGAGCTGCTTGTGTCAAATGCACAAATTAGTTCTCAGTCTGTTTTGGCTAAAGTACACCTTCCAAGGTTTACCTGCCCAGAAGCGTTTGGACCTTGGGTGATCCAGTGCAGATTTCTTTGCACCTAGGAAGTATTTTTAGAACTTGCTTAAAGAGAAGTGAGGTGGTGCACAGCTTTCCCGTTTTGTGTGTTTGGGCTTCTCCTTTTGACTGGATGGGTCACACATGGAAGTTTGTTCTGGGATGTGCCAGCTACACATCACACAGGTCCCACTGCTCTTGGCAGTCTGCTCTGAACGAGGGCCGATTGCTGTGGAGCCTTCCAGTGTTGCCTTACAGGGTGGATGAGCAGATTTTGGAGAACTCTGTCATCTTCATCTCAAAACCTTTGCTTATTTGTTTATCAGACCTAGGGATTTAGGATTGCCTCACAGCACAGCTAAACAGCTTAGTCACTGCAGATCTGGAAGAGCTGCATTTCTGAGGCTCACTGGAATTGCTCTGAGCTGCATGTTTCCCCCTTCCTGTAATATTAATTGTAGTAATAACTGACTTAATTTCCAAACACCTTGTTTACTGATTTGTTTACCAACAGGTACTAGTGCATAAGCTTGTACATTATTTTTTTAGTTGTCTTTCTGTCACACAGAGCAACTAATTAACATTAATCTCCTTGGAATTCGCTTCATCGTCAGCAGCCCCTCTGCAGGCTTGAAAAGGGCACTGAGGTTCATTTCACCTGCCTCCTTTGCCCTGGGACTGTTGGCAACTCTTTATTATTCACAGGCCCATTACTATTTCATGTTCCCCTGTGGAGGTAATGCAAAATAACTGCACTAAATAAAGACCTGCTGAGGTTTGCCAGAATGACAGGACTATGCAAAGTGTTAAATTTAGTACAGTCTCTCTGGGTTCTCTCTGCAGATATTGGTACTCTTAAAACAAAAAAGAGCTGTCGTTCTGAGCAAACACTGAATCCAGACTGGCAATAAATCTGTATGTAGAAACTGTTATTGCCTTCTTTTCCTGTTGTAGATGTTGCTGTTTGTAATTTGTTTTATGACTTTTAGTGTTGTTTACCTGGATTTTTGTTTTGATTTGCTTTTAATTGTTTTTTCATTCTTTTAGTGGAATCTAATCAAAAGACATCATTCCAAGAAATTCCCAAACTAAATGAAGATTTGGTGCAGAACCAAAAGCAGCTAGAACAAATTGAGACTGGAGAACTGGGGCTGAGTAAAATTTGGATAAATATCACAGAGATCAATAAACAGGTGAGAGGGAATCAGTCCTTGGTTTTGAAAAATAATAAAATACCCATTCAGTTATTTTTAATGGAAATTAATTTTATATAAGGACTTCTGTGGCCATATACATAGCTTTTATTTTTAAAGTTCAAACAGAGTATAAACCTCATTATAAACAAGCAAAAAACAGCTTGAGGATCCAGCTGGGCTGGAAACTGATCATAAGAGGAGAAATTGCATAACCAGAGGCAGTTCAGGCAGAATTTAAAAGAGCCCAAGAACTGTGCAATTCTTAATTTTCCTGCCAAATAGTTGTGATGTTTATGATGAGAGATTTGACATTTAAAATTTCTGAGAATGTTTTTTAAGTGTGGAAAAGAGTTACCTGACTCAGAGCAAGCTCCTGTTTCTACAAAATAAGGCTTGATGTCCTATGAATATAAAACCTGCTAGCACACACTCAGCCTCTGAGCTGGTGTAAATCTTGGCTCTGTTGATGGGGCTAGAGCTAAGCCACTTACCAGAGAGCTCTTTGCTCAGCTGCTCTATTAACTCACACTGCAAATGAAGCATCCCACAAGGCTTTTACTGAGATTTCTGCCCTGGAGGGTAAAAGTTCAGAGCTGCTCACAGTGAATGGTATCGAGGGGTGTGTGTGGGGAACTCTTCTTGACCCAGGTGCTCTGGTTTAATTTGTTAGAGTACTGAGGTGCCTGCTTAGATGGATTTTTCTTCAGTCCCTTGTGGTGGTCAAGTGCTTACTGGGGCACATCTGAAAATTTGATTTGCTTTCTTTAGCATCTCACTGTTTTAGCCACAGTTATTCAGGCTCTTCGTCAGACTTAAAATGCTCTTTAACCTGGCTGTTAAAGATACTTGCACGTGGTTCTTGCAGGCCCTCAGGTTACTTCAGGGTCTGGTTACACTCTGAACCAGATCTTCAGGGGATCAAAATTTTCTTGCTGTTGTTTTTATCTGTGAATTGTTGGGATGTGCTGCTGGGAATAATCTCAGCTGATGTTCACAGCTGTGAGCTGGAGAGTCTGCATGCCAGCTGGTTTACATTGACCTAATGTAAAATTAAGATCTGTTCCTCAACTTGCAAAACAACTTTGTTTTTTAACCAGAAGAAAGTGAATTTTAGTCTCTGTTCCATGGATGTAGCAGAGGGTTTGGATGATAGGTGCAACTTTGCCTGTCACTCAGCTGGAGAGGTTGCATGGCTTTGCTGGGTTTTGCCAGACAGGTTTCGTGGGTGATTTGATTTGCTTTTCATGAAGACTTCCACATGAAGACTTCTTGCACAATTTTTAAAGTCTTTTTTGGGCAACAGCCTCTCTCTGTAAGAGAGTGAATGTAAAACTGTCAGAGGGTACGTTACTGAAAAGGAGGGTTTTCTGTGGCCTTCATTTGGTTTTAAAAAATAGTTAAACAAAAACTTGCTCTTTTTCAAGAATATTTTTAATGTAGCTTAGGCAGGATTTCTAACCTAGAGACAGGCGTGGTTTTTGTGTGTACATGTATAATTTTGTATTGCTTTATGTTTTAATGTTACACATTAAGCCATCAGTATTGGGGGAGATCAGAATCAGGATTGTGTTGCCTAATTCTGAGTACTCTTTTTTGGTTTTAGATATCACTCTTGACCTCAACAGTAAATCATCTCAAAAACAATATAAAATCTGCTGCTGACCTGATTTCTCTTCCTCTCACAGTAGAGAAACTTCAGAAGGTAAGTACTGTAAATGTGGCAATCACTAAATGTGTTCTGTGTGTTAAGCTGCAGCTGGGCTCTTGGGGACAGCACTGACAGCAGGAGCTACCTGAGTTGCAAGGAATATTTGCTTCTCTTGTCTTTAAAATTTGACTTCATAAATTGTATGGTCCTAAGGTAATGTGTAGTAGGTAAAAAATTTAAAGGCTTTGTTTATCCCTTTTGGAGATGCATTTGTTTGTATTGTGCTGTCCATGTGTACCTTGGAGCTGATCTTTCTGGTTACTTTCCTTCAAGTTGCTAATCTTAGTATCATGTGAGACACTTGGAAAAAGTTTTATAACTGCATGCAAATAGGTGGCCTGTTTAGTTTTTTTTAATTGGAAAATGAAATGTATTGCTTTCTGTTAATATGATATCTTACTGTGTGCCTTACTGAGCATTCTTTACCAAAGAACTGTCATGTTTATTTAGGTTAAAAGAATGGCTTTTTGAAACATGCCTGGTTATTCCATGGCTGTTCTGTTTATTCAGCAATACACATTTATGTTGGGCTAACACCTAATGTTAGTCCAGTCTTTGTGGCATTATGGGTTGCCACATCTCATTTCCTATCCCTACAAAATTAATGTATAATTAACAAGGTAGAGATATGCAAAGAAATGAGTGTGGTGTGGCTGATGGGGCTGCCAGCATTTCTTTTTCTGGGAGGAGTACAAAGCTGTTTCCTAAGCTCCTTACTTGCTGCTACAAACAGGCTGGATTTTCACTGTGTCCTGGCCAGAAGCAAGTCTGAAGGGATGTTGTCATCAGGAGGAGTGTGGCCAGCAGGACCAGGGCAGTGATTGTCCTCCTGTACTGGGCACTGCTGAGGTCACACCTCAAATCCTGTGCCCAGTTCTGGGCCCCTCAATTCAGGGAGGACATTGAGGGGCTGGAGAGTGTCTAGAGAAGAGCAGTGGAGCTGGGGAAGGGTTTGGAGCACAAGTCTGAGGAGGAGCAGCTGGGGGTGTTTAGCTTGGAGAAGAGGAGGCTCAGGGGGGACTTACACTCTCCACAACTCCCTGAAAGGAGGTGGAGGGTCAGGCTGTTCTCTCAAGTGACAAGTGATAGGACAAGAGGAAATAACCTAAAGCTGTGCCAGTGGATGTTTAGATTGGATTACAGGAAAAATTTTTTCACTGAATGGTGTATCAAACAGTGGAGCAGGCTGCACGTGGAGCTACTGCAGTTGCCATCCCTGAAGGTATTTAAAGGACATGGACAGGAGCTGGGGACATGGATTAGTGACTTGGCATTGCTGAGTTAACAGCTGGACTCAGTCTTAGAGGTCCTTGCCAACCTAAGTGATCCTATGACAAGATTGCCATTCTTATGTGGGATTTGGTTTTCTTGAGCCTTTTTTCCTTGTAGGTACTATTACTAGAAGTAAGGATGCCTGCTGGTGTTAAAATCCTGAAGGATTACTGAAGGAATTCCTCTTGAGCAGTGGCTTTTGTTCCTGGTGCTGAAGGTGTCCTGACATCCTCCAGGGCACAGGTTGCATTTGGTGTAGTTTGCAGTTTTGACTGAAAAAAATTCTTCAAACTCATGTGTCTGAAAGTTTGTGGCAATCTGCCTGCAGTTTCACTAACAAAACATTGTGTTTAGCTGATTGGTACTTTGGGACAGTGCAGTTTGGGGAAGGCTGAGATTTCTGTCATCTCTTTTATTGCAGACTGTAGCCAACATAGGTAGCACCCTTACCAGTGTGGCTCATGATGTTGAAAATATACAGACAGCCATTGAGGAATACAAGAAATCCATAGAAGTACTCCAGAATGATGTGGTAAGAAAAATGCACTGCTGTAACACTGCCTAATATGAAGCAAGTTAAAGAAATGCTTGAAGTTTGGAGATGTCAGAATATTGATATAGTTTGTTGGTTGAATTAAGAGCCTATACAAGGATAAAATTACTGACTGTCTTCAGCAGAAACTACTCACTGTATTTATCCTGACCTCTCACTTGGGATTAACAAACTAAACCAATAATTACAGTTTTTCTGCTAAATTGCAATATAAGAATTCTTGCAGATAATATCTAAATTAGACACATAATAAAGCTTGATTCAGTCAGCGGGTGCTCTAAAAACATTGCAGATATGTCAGCGTGTATGGTAGCAGTGAAATATGTATCATAATACTTCATTAAATGGAGAGGAGTTAATTACGAGGGTTTAATGAAAATAAATTTGGACCTTATGTGTTTGAAAGAGAAAACTATTAGCCTAGTTTAGATACTGCATGCACAGCAGACCTGAGTGACTGTACTTGTAACAAAACATCCTTAGCTACAGTCTGCCAGACACTTATTCACAGGGGTTTTGTAACACAATTTTCTACTTCTTTCCTTAGAAGGAATTAAAACAGCTGCCTTCACTTCCCTCCACTGTTGTGCCAAGGACTGAGGGAAATCAGACAGAATACTGCAAAAAGGTATTTTTCTCCCTTGCATAAGGAATTTTGGTACAAGTGTCATGGATATGTAACTTACCCATGTGTTTTGCAGTACTGTAGTGTGCAAAAAACATGGTTTTTTATCAAGACAATGTAGATAGCATGCTTTAAAGCAAATAATAAGATAATTTTCCTCTAGTTTGTTCCTGTGTATGTGCAAACAGGAAAAGTGCCCTGGTCTGAGAGAGGGGTTTTTTTGTGTTCTGGTTGGGTGAGTAGTAAGAACAGTGAAACCAATATCTGACAAATTATAGGTGTGCTTTGCTAAAGTAAATGGAAATAAGTTAAAGGTTTTTAGTGGAGTGGATTTTATGGCAGGTACTTGCTAATCTGAGCAAACTTGGGAGTGGCATGTACTGAGTCACTCTCACTGTAATGAGATGTGGAAAACAGTAATTCAGCAACCAAAAAAAAAAAAGTTTAATGTGTAGGTGTTTAGCTGAATGGGTTGGAACAGAATGACTGCACTTATTTACATTTAATACAGTCAATATCTTCCTCAAAAATGAATCCTGTATATAAATATGCCCAGTACATGCTTTCTTGGGAAAAATCGTTGTGCTTACAAAGCTTGACCTGGAAAATGAGATGAATAGGCTTTCTGTGTTCACTGCACAGCTGAAGTGATTATATTAGCAACAAAGAGGTTAGCCCTGGGGAAGAATCTCAGTTTCAAACTTTTAGAAAGTTAGAATAACTTTCTGGAAGCTCCCAGTTGGATGTTTTCAGTGGTGTCAGTGGAGAGCCAGCCCAAAGTCTGCCCAGTTAAACTGGGTCAGTCGTGTTGTTAATAGCAGGAGTTGCTGCAGAGGTTGGGTAAACTGACACGTGCCCTGTTGATATTTCAGGAAAGCCAGGCACTGCATGCAGCTTTGGAACAGCTAAATAATACTGTGGTGGTGTACCAAAAGCTGAATGACATCAAGCTTCTAAATGTGGATTCAGCCATTGGCAACCTCAGCCGGAAAGTTACACTGTTGGAAAACTCTCCCCTGGTTGTGAAAAATCCGGACAAAAGAGAGAACTCATCCACCATCCTGGTAAGAGTTTGATGGCTCAGGGCGTTTCCTCAGGCTACTACTTCCCTTTCACTGCAGATACAGCTTTTCAGAGCTAACTCAAGAAAATGTCAGAGGGAAACTTGAGATACTTGGGAGTTCATTTATAAAAGGCTGGAGTTTGTTCCTCATCAGATAACCAGCATTAAGAGTGTCTCAGAAGCAGTATTTCAGTTCTTTCCTGCAGTATCTACAGGAAAGTGTCCAAAACACTGTGACATTTAAGAGCTGGGTGGTTGTTTTATGAGGCAGGATTCACAAACCGAGCTGTTTTAGGAATCACTCTGGCATAGATCTCTTAAGACCCACCGAGGTGCTAAGTGGGACTCTGCATTTGTTCAACAGTGGTTAAATTCTAAAAAAAACCCCCAATAATTAAAAAAACCTTCTAAATAAGTTCATAAATTCTTCCAGTGTTTTCTGTTTGCCACAGGGGGTAAGTCTGTGACAACATGTTCTGTATGTTTAACAATAAAGGCACATGCTGACGTTGCTGTGGTAAATTATATAGCCCATTTTTATGACTTCATGTTTATTCTATAATGTTTCTGCCCTGGTTTATCTCTGTTTAATGCCTGCCAAATTTGAAGGAACGAAACTTGTAGAAAATAAAAAGCACATGAATAAACTCTGCTCTTTTTTCTCTAGGGGAATAATGCAACTACCTCTCTAAAAATGGAAAATGAAGATCAACTAGATGGTGAAACTCAGTCAAATAAAGAACTGAAGGTAAAGTAAGGAAATACAAATTACACTGATTATTAGAGCATGTAATTGTTTTTCTAAAGATGTTTTAAATGGACCTTAATTGAGCAAAGGTCTGCAAAGAGGCAGTGATGGAGTGAGGGACTTGCTGAAAGCCCCTCTCAGTAATGGTCCATCACTGGCTGGGAGTGAGTATAACTGAAAGGCCAAATGGGGCTGGGGATAGGAGGGGATGCTGCTGAGTTTAGTATCCATCTGCTGGAAAGAAGGTGGGTGAGTGAACAGGCTGCACGGTCAGTTCTGGTCTTGCACTGATGTGAACTCAACCTGTCCTTGGGAATGTACCAATGAATAGAGTAAAGGAGCTGCAGATTAAAAAATCTGGGAGTTTTACTTCAGCAGAGATGCAGTGGCTTCTGCACAAAGATATTCACTACTGCAGACAAACCTTGGAAGCAATGAAGCAGTTTAATTAATGTATAAGTGTTCACTCCCAGTGTCCTTGACTGTTTTATGTTGTAGCTTTCCAGTGTCTTTCTCTTTTCTGTAGGAAATACAGAAAGTAAACATCAGATTCTTTTGAAATAAGTATATGCAAAATAATTGCCTGTTTTCAGGATGAGGTGCTGATTCTGTTGTTTTCTTACAGACCGTGTGAATTTATTCATTGTATCTTCCTATAGATTGTTTCTTTGTTTATTGTTTTAAAATCTTGTTTAGAATTTTAAACTTGATCAGCCTAGATACTTCAAACTCAAGTCAGAAGTGCTGACATATTTTAAATTACTACCTTTTCTGATCTTCTACATCTACTGAAGGGGTGCATTTTAAGATTTTTTTTTTTGTACATATGCAGGAAGCAGGAACTAGAGATCCTCAGGTATCAAAACTAAAAGAGACTCTTCAGCTGATCAGTGCTCTCACAGGCAAGTCAGAAAATGACAGACCTATTGAGGCATCAAAGAATGGTAAGAATGTCCTGTAACAGTAATCCATGAACCTGGAGATTCCCTGTGTAATTCAAAGAGTAACTAATTAAGGTGGATAGTTAGACTGTTCCTTAAGATTTTGATGAAGGCTTTTTTAGTTAAAGTGGTAGGAAATGGATGTTGCTAAAACAGAAAACTGTGTATGATTCCAAAAGTTTGAAGGTGACTTAAAACGTGCATGGAAGGATTCACATGGATTAGTATCTGGTGTTTGAAGGCAGGCAGTGATTAACTGTAGAACTTCATACCCAGTAACATCTGGTTTTGCTTTTTCAAAATATAAGTGTGCCAGAGAGGAAAGGTTTCTGCCTCTGCTGACTTCAGTTCTGCACTTCTGCTGAACATCAGATTTTTAAATACTTCATTACAACAGAACTGTGCTGCTTGTTCATTCCAAGCAGGTGCTTGGAAACTTATACCTTGTTGTTGGGGAATATTGGTGTTGATAAGGTGGAGGCAACCCAGGTGGGCAGATGTAATTTGCTTAATGAAGCTTCTTCAGCACCCTCAGAGTGGGGAAACACTCCCAAGTATGGGAGTTTATAAATACACACCTCCTAGAACAGAATGGAAGATTAAAGCTGTGTGACTGTCCCAAAACTGTTCTTTCAATTAGAGTAAAAAGAGGCAACACTGCTACAGTCTGAAATATGGCAGCTACAGTATTGCTACATTCTTACATAATCTTATCCCATAGAAGCTACTGTGATTAAAAAAAAAGAGTTTTATTGGATTTTTTGTTTCATTTTGATAGCTGTAGTTCTGTGGAATCAGTGAGACTAATAGAAATTGTTTTGTAACAGTTGAGAGTAGTCAGAGTACTACAGCAAAGCCCACAGACCTTTCAAGGGTGGCTTCAAGGTCAGCTGGTGACAACACAGAGAGAAATGGGCAGCTGAGCCATCTGTCCTTACCAGGAATTTCCAGCATTGAAGGTATGTCCTCTTTAGGCTGACCTTTTCTTCTGAGTATTTCATGTAAATGTTTAGGAGAGGATAAGTATAAACATTCTGGGAGGTGTGAGGTCAATTTTAAAAGCTTGAGGACAAAAGGTTTTTTCCTAAAAAAAAAAAGCAGTTAAGAAAAAAAACTGAAAGAAGAGCATGTAAAAGAAAAGAAAGTGTTATTTAAGCAGGAGTGTGCATTATTAGTGAATTGTAATTGTTTTGAGTACCAAAGTATTGCATTGAGTGCCCCAGAGACTGGGAGATAAGTCAAGGGCAGAATTAACATGCTGAAGGATAAAGTAGTAGCTATGAGTGTGTATGTTCTGGGGCTTTTTTTCTGTTCTGTATTCTTTTTTCCAAGAGAACACTGCCTGGTCAGATGAATGGTTTCTGGATCTTGCTGTTCAGTCCCTTCAGCTCCTGAAAGGGCAACTCAGGAAGTGAATAGACACTTTTCCCTTTATATCATCTCTCCTGTTGGTATAGCAACAGTCATTCAGAGCTTGCTTTTGTGGGGGATAACTGCATCTGCATGCAGTTAGTGGTTGTAAAATGGGCTGTTAGCTGTAGCCAGAAATAGGGATTACTTTCTTCAGATTTAATGTCATTTAATCCAGAAATGTTCATGCTTTTTTCTCCTAAACTGTTACCAGCAGCTTGTGGCAACATAGGAGGCAAACTCCTCACTCAGGGATGCTGTATGTAATTACTGGGTGCCAAGAGACAGTGCTGTAAAACTGGGAAAGCAGCTTATGGGGTATTCCTGGGTACTTAGAGGAGCTGTTTCTCAGTCCTTGTTCTCTTTGCAGATCTTCAGAAACTGTTTGAAAAAGCACCTGCGGATGCTGATGGAAAACTCTCATACAAAGACCTTCAAAAGCTGTTTGGCTCCACAGCCCAAGAATCACAGAGCTTTAAGGAGTTTGACACAGATGGAGATGAGAAATACACGCTAAAAGAACTGAGATTAGCATTAGGTGTATAGGGTGTATGTTTAGAAATGTGATATTGGTGGACGTTACTGTAGCTAAAGGAAGCTACAGGACATGAAAAACTATGGCTGCACTTTCCCAGTGTTTTACTGATCTTTGGAGCTAAATTACTGTACACATTGCCACCTCTTTTTTTCAGTTGCATTTATTGAAAGGAAATTTACAAATTTATATGTCGATAGGACATAATATTGGGACTTTAAAATCCAGAAATTCCCAAACTTGGAAACATTTTCCTCTCGTTATTTCCTTTTCAAGGGAGATATTGCTTATAATTTAAAATGTGTACATACTAAAATAAAACTATGGTTTTATATTTCACTGAAATTTGCCTTAAATTAGAGAGCTGCACTTTATGTAGAGCAGAAGGAAAATCTGTCTTGTGAAGATGGGCTGCTTCTGCTTGTAAATATTTGAGATAGAGTAAATTATGCATATTTAAGGACAAGTTGTGTCAGGGGCTGTGTTGGTAGTAAGCTGTTTATAATGAGAGACTGAGCCTGGAATGAGGTTTAAGAGATTCAGCTAAATTTTTGATTTTTACTAACTATATCCATGAATAAATCTGGCCTCAATCAGAGGAGAGCAGGAGGGGTAAGTCATGCCCATCTATAGCAGGATGTGTTTTTGAAGGGAAGAGTTGAAAGTGTTTTTATATCATGAGCCTACAGGAGCAATTAACTTGCCGAGTGCTTGAGTTTTCACTTCAGCGTTGTTTAGGCTTTGCTGCGTTGCATTCAGATTATATTTTGTGAGATGAGCCTGTCTATTTATTTTTTTTAAATGAACATATTAAATAGCTTTAATAGATGCTTAAGAGGTAAAAGCCTACAGTGCAGCCTGCTGAGCAGCACCTGAGCAGTTCATATCTCAGCGGTGCTCTGCTACACTCCAGGAGTGTGAGCGGGTGGGAAGGCCCAGAGAACACTTGTGAGCTCTTTCCTGACTATTGTGACCGTGATCCCTTCTTGGTACCTTTATTTTTTGTCTCCTTGCCAACAGAAGGATGTAAAAAGCTGTGTAGGCATGTGCAATCGCATCATCATTCTGTACTGACACATGGTTTGTAAGTGAGGTTTCCTTACTGGAGGAACTTAAAAGATCTGTTCATAGTAGTGGATCTAAACACAGAACATATTAAAAAATATTTTTGCAGAGGGGATTCTCTCTTACAGGCTAGATCAGGGCCTAGTTGGGTAATTTTGCTCACAAATATCACTGATCTTGTTAAGAGTCTTTTGCATGATTAGTGAGTTGGAATTGCCCACCTCGCTGAAACAGCAGCTTATGAGGAAGTCAGTTCATAATTGTTGACTTTTATATAACTTTAGACTGGATGTTTTATCAATGATTGTATTTTGGAAGTATGAATCAGCAAAGGAATGTACAAATTGGAGCCCTGTTACCCATTTCCTAGGCTTCTTTCACTGTTGCTCTTCTATCCTGTTTGGGTAATGCAGATGCCACCCAGTACCAAAATGCTTTTGATGTGACATTTGAAAACGCCGTATTTAAAAACAAAACAAAACCAACCACCCTTGGCTTCAGAGAGGACAAGAAGCCAACACTTGCTTCTTTCCACTTCCCATACCCTTTTATACATTACTGTATAAATCCTTAACCAAATAAAGAAAAAAAGCAATACAATGTAACCATTCTGATATTTTATTTGTACATACTGTATCATAGCCATATGCCAGAGTTTGCAAAATATTTTTGGAAGTTTATTTGTATGAAATTTACCTTGAAATTTAAAAGATTATAGTACCGCCTTGTGAATCTTTTAGTGTTTTGTTTTGTTGCATTCTGCTTTATTTTTAGAAGGCTTTTCAGCAAGCAGCAGTAGTGAAAATGGCAGCTAGACCTGATGTTGCTGTTCGCTGCCTGTGCCTGGGGAGCTCAGCTGGTCACTGCTGGGACACAGCTGCCCAGGGCTGCTTCTTGCATGTCGAGGGCACAGTCGATGGCTAATTGCTGTGGTCACTTGTAGGATGGGCTTGTGCTGTCAATTAGACAAAATCCGAGCATCCCTAAGTACAGTGGTCTGTTCTGTGCTGCAGCCTGGGCGCACCGGTCCCGTCCCAGTGAGGTTTCTGCTACGCCACCGCTTCCCAAAGGCCTGATGCCAGGTGTGGGCAGGGTTCTTTCCCGTGTTCAGTCACAGTGCAGATGAAAAGCCATGAGTGTAGTAAATAAACACTCGTTTATTTACTACACGAGTGTTTAGTAACTAAACACGGATCCCCTCCGGATCCCCTAACTCGTGCAGCTGCTGGTGGGGTACCAGAAGGGCGGCTGGATGCTCTGGGCAGCGAGTCCTTGAGAAAAATGCGATATCTGAGTGAAATCAAAAGCAACGACGCTGTGAGAGCAAACTGTAACAGGAAAAGACCTCTGCCCTGCCCAGACTGCTGTTGTGCCGTGATTCCTGGGTTCGCTTTCGGGCTGTACCTGTGGGTTTGGGTGACCACTGTGTCCCTTCCCCTGCGGCTACCGACCTGCGCCGGGAGCGGGGCCGTGCCCACCGCGCTTGTTCGCTCCGCATGTAACGCGGCTTTGCTCTCAATAAAAGCTCCTTTCCAGCGTGCGCCTCCGGCCGGTTCCTGGCAGGGGAGATGGGACGGAGCGGAGGGCGGAGCGGGCTGAAGGGAGCGCGGAGCGCAGGGCGGGCTGAGGGGAACGGGGCGGGCTGAGGGGAGCGGAGCGGAGGGCGGAGCGCGGAGCGCGGGGCGGGCTGAGGGGAGTGGAGGGCGGAGCGGAGCGGAGGGCGGAGCGGGCTGAGGGGAGCGGAGCCATGGCGGGCCCGCTGTGCCAGGGCTGGGGCCTGGGGGCGGCCCTGCGGAGCCGTGCCGCGCTCCGGCCGCTCGGGCTGCTGGCACCGCCGGCACGGGAGGTGCTGGCACCGCCGGCACGGGGGGTGCTGGGGCCGGCAGCGGGATCGGGAACGACGGCGGGATCGGGAGAGGCGGCGCTGGAGGAGAACCCCTTCTACGGGAAGTACCGGCACAAGATCCAGGAGCTGCGGAGGTGGGCCCTGAGGGAGGGAGGCGGCGGGACCGGGGTGGGCGGGCTGGGTTTTGCGAAACGGGCGGGTCTGGGGAGCGCTTTCTTGAAGGAAGGATGTCCTTCTATTTTAGTTTCTCACCCTCTTGAGAAACTCGATTAGTTTAGGCCAGTTGCCTTGAAATTCACGCGTAGTTGGCACCAGGTCAGTGAGGATCGTCTCCCAGCGTGCTCAGCTTGATGAGAGATAGTTCTGCAAGATTAAATTAAAATTTTAAGTTAAGAACACGAATCAGTATCATAGTAAACATTTTAAAAGGCCAAAGGATGTTAATCACCCAGCAATGCTCTCCACCTTTGTAAACCTTTGGAACAGGCAAAGAGTACTCCAATTTTGGAAACCATTGGAGCAGGCAAAGAATATTCCAACTTATGGACTTCTGTCGTATCATAAAGGAGGATTTGAACAGAGAAATGAGTAAGCAGAAGTTGAGGCTTACTTTAGGTGTAAGTCCATCTGCTGGCAAGGGCACAATGAGAACAGCCCATAGAAGAATCATGGTTTTGAATTATTCTGATAAAGATTGATTACTTTACTTAGCAGTATAAATCAGTGAAGCAAAAGGCTTCACAGACTCACTTACAGAACCATGAAATGGCTTGGGTTGGAAAGCACCTTAGGGATCAACCACTTCCAACCCTCCTGCCATGGACAGGGACAACTTCCACTAGGACAGGTTGCTCAGAGCCCCATCCAGCCTGGTCTTGTTGGAATGCAGTGCCAAAAACAAATCCAAAGCCTTGGGTCATAGCAGATATTGTGCAACAGCTTTCACAGTTTCTTAACTGTGTATTGATTTTTCCTGTTTATCATCATAATTAAAAACTTGAGATTATTTAAAAGCAAACTGGAATGTTTTAGTTGTATGAATTTATGTCCAGTTGGACAAGGAGCAGGGAGGAGGACTTGGATGATCCTTGTGGGTCCCTTCCAACTCGAGCTATTCTATTGCTCTGTTGTACCTTTAACAGTCCCTGTTCCAATTCAGGTCCAATCCAGATGTGTTTGAATCCCGTATGGAAAAAAGAAGTGAAGTGAAAAAGCAGCCCGTGGGACATTCCAGACAAGGAGAGTTTATCAGATGCATGGAGGAAAAGGCAAGGCCAATTTTCTTTGTAAATCACATACCTTGAAGCTCTAATGTTATTTTTGTGGGATTACTGTAATGCTACAAACTTGAAGTATCCCTATCAGTAGGAGCTCTGAAATTTCACTGTGATGGCTAAAAGCATTGTTCTCTACTCCTCTGTATTATTATTTTTTAGACTGTGAATTCCCTGCTTGAAACCTTAAGTTTAATTAGTTCCAGATTAGTTTGGCCAGAAGAGTGACACAATCCTGCATTTATCATTTCTTCAGTGAAAGCAATAAAACTGTTCAATAATATTGGATCCAAAATGCATAATAGTTTCCTTTTGACAAATCCTTTGCAGCCTTAAAATTCATAATTCACATTAGGTTATTAATCTTATTTATTTCACCTAATCAATCACTTATTTTTTTTTTTAAATACACTCCAGTGATCTTCAGGTATCTTGAGCTCCCACTCGGGAGTTTTGCCAGCAGGCAGGTTATGTGTGGCAGGGAAGGCAAATCAGTGGTATTAGCTGTAAAATTAAAGAAGAATGTTTTCTTGCAGGCAGAAGGCTTGGGCAGCAAGACATCAAAGGGAGGATTCACAAAGGATAAGGTAAGAAATGAACCCAAGTGTTAGGAGGGGACAGTGGCAAGGCAAGGGTGTATTTCCAGTTTCAGTCAAGAGCACTTTGATATAAACTTGGTGTTCCTTATGCTGCATTTGAATGTAAGATCTTGGTTTACTGTTGGGATCCCATTCAACCTTAAAACTCCTGGCACTCTGGGTTTTTATTGCCCTGTCCTTTTTCTGTGACACCCTGGAAATTCCTTCCAGTTGGGGCATCTGTTCTGAACATTAAATGGAAAGGGTTAAGCTCCTTTTACAGCATGGAAATACATTTGCAGTGATCAGCCAGCCAAGGGACAAGAGAATTCTATTTCACATTCTTTTATTTCGGTGAATCTTCAGTGTAAATCTGCCAAAGAGCATGTCTCTGAGATGGCTGAAGGCAAAAGGCTGCAGCTCCTGTTGCAGCTTCAGCAGAGATCTGCACAACTGGAGCAAAGCATGTGCTGTGTCCTGAAAGAATCTATTCTGCCTCAGTGTGTGAATCCACTTCTCAGTGTGTTGCTGCTGTATTTTATTTGGCAATTAGAGGGACTAAGTAACACTATAAATTGAATAGAGTTCCTCTAGGTTGATTTTGTTCTCTGTAATTGCATGCATTCATTCTGGATTCTTACAAGGTCAGAGAACTGCCCTCATGCCACATTCTTTATGCTTTCTCTTGCAGACACTTGATTCAATTCTTAATGTTGAGATGGTGAAAGAAAAATCAGCAGAGGAGATAACACAGGTAATGTATTTAAATGGAATAAACTTTGCTTCACGTCTGTGCTTAATAGTAATTTATGTAAGGATGGAAATTTTACTTAGACTGAAGAATAAAACACATCTGTGGATGTACATTTGCAAAAAGCATATTCACATGGGTATCCATAGGAGAAGATAAAGTTTTCTCCATCTAGGTAAGTCCTCCTAGGATGTGCTAGGGGGTGCAGGTACACTGGGTATTGCCATCCTGCTGTGGTGAAGAAAACAAAAGCATCATGCAAAGACCTGTCTTCTTTTGAAAATGTTTTGTATGTTCTTTATTAAAAAAAACCCCACGACCACCAAAAAACACAACCAAAAATCATTAGTGTGATTGTTGGGAAAGAAGTGAGAAGCACTTCTGGTGGTTAATAAATACTGAGCCACCTCTGAGCCCACTGTTGATTTCTGTTACCTGGTTGGAATCTGTCCTTTGGTACATCTGGAGCCTGTGCAGAAGTGTGTTGCATTAGCAGGAAAGTCAGTCAGGCTTGATAGAAAAATGACTTCCCAAAGTGCTTACACAGGTTAGCTGACGTTTTAAAGCATTTAACATTACTGCTAAATGCTGGACTTGAACTGTATCTCATCTTCTTTGTTTCCTACAGATTTGGAATCAGTATTTTTCTGCGAAAGACACAGTTTATGCTGTTATTCCTGTAAGTAGTTCCTCTATAGTTCTGCCCTTGAAAAGCCAACATGCAAAGCTTTTCTTTCCAGCTGAGATTCTGCTGCTTTTAAAAGCAGTCATTAAAGGAAAGTGAGGTTTCAAGAACAAGCTTACTTTCTAGGTTGAGTGATTTTATTGTCCCAAACAAAGGCTTTTGTTTTCAGAAATGCATAGTCCTTTTTTCTCACTCAGAGGAGTCTCAATAAATCAAGGACCTTTTTCTGCACACCTGGCTGGAACTTACAGGCTTATTTTAATACAAGCCTCCAACACTCTTTGCAAGGCCCTAGTGTTTATTAAGGAGCATTTGTATTTTTAGAGTTATTTTTGTCAGAGTTGCTTGTTTCTTTGCCCTCTTCCCCGCAGCACAGGCAGCTGCCTCAAGGTTAATGTGGCAGTCCAAGAGCACTTGGCTGGTAACTTGCATGTGGCTGATCACTTAGGACTTACTTTCATACCTTTACAA